AAGCTGCCCAGGCCCTTTTATTTAGGACACACTTAGAGTTGCCTCTGCATCTTCCTTTACACACCCACTGGGTACCTTCTGCGTGACAGGCACCGTTACCAAAGTCTGTCAAAATGCAAGACTGCTCAGTATCTGAAGCCCAAAGCAGAATTTAATACTTAGCACAGCACAGTCTCCTCCCACAAAGTTGACCTGACATAGAGTTTTGCAAAGCATGGTGTGGAGGGATTGGTGGACTTGCAGAGGCGGGAGTGTGTTAGTCGATGCCAGCTGTGGAGACCTGGCTGTTCCGAGGAAAGTGTGGACTGGCTGGACTTCAAAAGCACAGGCTGCTTCTGACTGGCTTTCCGAAGTGTGTTCATTTTAGGCAAGTTGCTATTGACTCGTTAAACTGAGTCAAGCTGTCGTCAGTCCATTGAACCAGTTTCGAACTGGGGCTGGCAGCTAATTGTTGCCCTAACTACAGGACATTTTATCTTTTCCTAAGAGTGTGGAAACTATTTTTCTTTTTAATTTTTAATTATTACTATGATTTTACACATTCAATTGCTATACATCATTTGGCTTGCAAAGAGAACTTACCCAACAGGAAATACGTCTCAGACCAGTCCAGTTGAGAATACTACACGTGTTATCAATAGGTAATAAACCATTTCTCTGTCCCACCAATGTCTTGCCTTTCATTTCCCTCCTAATTTCCTTCCCTATACTCTTCCCTTCTCCCACCCTCCTTCCACAAGAGTGGGGATACTTTTTTTTATTTTCAGGCCTCTGCCTTCAAAAAATCACAATTTATGTGGAGGATGGACACGCAAGACACAGAGGCAACGTCTCTGAGAAGTTCAAAGCATGGAAGAAGTTAGTGTAGAAGATTGGATCCTTGCTTTATTTCTGCTCCTTCCTGAATCTCCACCCAGATCACACTAAAGGGACTGAAAAAGGCATAAATCCATGAGGAAGAAGCGAGCACGAGGGGAGACCACAGGAAAGAATGGCTGAGAGATGCTAATCGACTTTTGGAATCCCCAAAATCAATTGGCAACTGCTAACTGACCTAGCAAACCAAACAAGGCTGAAATCATGCTGCCCATAGAAAGGGAAACCGAGAAGCAAAATCCTACCTTAGAACCCTGGAAAATCTCAGGAATTGGTGGTGCAGGTCATCTCGGAAGGCAGCAGTGAGAGTGGAGATGAACACAGAAGCAGATGGTGATGCAGCAGTAAAACACGATGCTCTGCAAGGCTGATCCATGTGGGCTGTCCTGGGTCCATGTCCAGAAACCTCCCTGAGTACTCCAGGTAAGTGTGTGCCCATGGCCCAAGGCTGGTTGGAGCTGTGGTGGATTGTGGTGTCGAGTCCCTGTTGGGGTTGCCGTATCTGTCTGTCTCTCTCGCTCATGGAAGAAAAAGAAACAAGAAAAAAAGAACTAACCCCCCTCCTGCAGTCACCCTGCCAAAAACAGATTTTGTAACTGAACCAGTTAGGCTTTTATATCCTTTTTTGCACCAGAGGCAACCAGGTGACTCACTCCAGCTGAAAATGGAAAGGTATTGAATGAAGGTATTGAATGACTTTGGACTTAGAGATAGCTAAAGGCAGGAAACTCTGCAGGATGCAGAGACTAAGTGAAGCAGCACATTCCAGAGTTAGATTCTTCTTTACCTAACTTGGCTAC